CGCCCTGGCGGCCTTCAAAGCCCGTGAGCCTCACCGCAGGAGCGTGCTGTCGTCCTGTGCGGGCCGCGGCCGGCTCGCTGGCTCCTGAGGAGGGTCTGCTGGGCGAGGGTGGAGGCACCCGGAGCCGCCCTCGCTGTAGCCCGCGCCGCTCAGGCTGTGGGTGACCTGCTGGCTCGCAGGCCTGCATCTGGGAGATGCCTGCTGGCAGCCTCCGGGTCCCCCGGGGCGGGGGGCAGAGCTCTACACACCGAGCGGCTTTGTCTCCTCCAGCCCAGCAGACCAGAGCCCAGCATCACCCTCACAGGGCTGGCTCCCCCAGAGCGTCAGCGGACGGTGCTCCGGGGCCGGGGCCCCTGCCTGTCTCCCCCCTCCGCGGGCCCTGTGTGGGCAGAAGCCTCCCCGCTTGAGGCCGGGCGTCCACGCTGTCACCTGAGCCGAGTCAGCACCTGCAGTGACCCTGAGCCAAAGCCGGGCACCCAGGACCAGCTGCTGGGCTGGCTCTCGAGGCCCCCACGGCTCCACCCCACCCCCTTACCCCTTCTCCCCACTTCCTGCCCCGATGAGGGCGGTGACAAGGCCTGGTGGGGACAGGCAGGCCTCCCTGCACAGAGCTTTATCCTGACCATGGGCTGCCGGGTCACCTGCAGAGAGAGCGCCCAGTGTCCGCACGGGGAACTGGATACGCCCGCCCCTCCCCACCACCTGAGGGACAGGCCACCTGCTGAGAGCTACTTAGGCTGTGTGGGGCATCAGTTAGCAGAGTGTGGATTACTGTTGCCCCAAGACAGGCCCGAACAGCTTCCTCTGCAGCCCCAGGCTCCTGGCGTCCCGGAGCCCCGAGTCCTGGCGCCCAGTGTCAGCGCACCACAGGGCACTGCTGGAGCCAGCCCTGACCCTGCCGCGGCCAATGGTTCCTGAGCTCGGTTGGTGCCCAGAACGTGGCACCCTCAAAGCGGCCACACTGCTCGGCCACCCCTGCCCCAACAGCCATCACGAGGCGGCAGCTAGGGCTGGTGCGGCTGTGGGAACGTGGGGCTGTGACTGCTGGCAGGACGTGAAGGGTGGAGTGTGTGGAAAACTGCTGGCTTTCCCTTAAAAAGCCCAACTCGGAATGTGCCCAGACTGCAGCTCTACTCCAGGAACATTCTGGAAGGAACCGGAAACGGCGCCTTGGGTACTCGCAGCAGACTCCACAGGGCTGCCGCCAAGCAGCCGACCCCCCAGCCGCCGAGGAACAGTGTGTCCGTCTGGCCATCGCCTGTCCTTGCACAACGGAGTGTGAGCAGCAGGGAGGCAGCCGCACGGGCTGCCTGTGGGTGACCCCGAAACGTCCACTGGGGGAAAGAGCGGCTTCCGCTTACACAGCCTGTCCCTGGCTGGCGGCCACACACCAGTTAGAGGACCTGCGGCACCTGCACCTCCTCCCCGAGCCTCTGGCCCCTCGCTGTCACGGGAAGGAGCTCTGCTCTTTGGCCAAGAGCTCTCTGTACCGCGACCTCCCGTCACGTGGCAGCAAGCAGGCGGGTTTGAAGGGCCCTTCAGAGGTCATCTGTCTCTCTCCATGCTTCTAGCACAATTACCAGTTAATTAAAACCAGTCCAAGCAAAAGTGAACCGATTCCACTCGGAAATCCCACTCTCACTTTCCTCAGGAAGAAATTACAGTCTTGCTAGGTAACTAACTAGCAATGTCCGTCTTCCTTCTGACCTACAGATGCTTTGGGGGCTCTTCAGAAGTGACGACATCTGCAAGAGTGGGAAGCTCGGGAGGCCACAGAACAGGGGCCGCCTGTCGGGGGCGTCCATCCACTGGCAGCCCCGAGGGAGCCGCCTGCTCCCGGGAGCCCTTGGTGGCGAGGGGCAGCGGGGATGCGGGGCCAGTGTCCTCGTCGGCCAAATGGACCGTCACGGCGACGCGCACGCAGTTCAGTGCGTCTCGGGGCCCCTGCGGTGCGCAGTGGTCCGTGGCAGGGACTCAGGCCGCGTGCTCCGTCCGACACGAGTGTTTCCCGGTGATGTAGCGCCAGCGTCCTGCTTCTCACTGCCCCAGAACTGAGCTGCACTTGAAATTAGGTTAACTGGAGCCAGATTTAATCAGCGTGTGACCCAATGGGGTGCATGCAACCTGGGGTATCAGATATCCGACTTGATGCTGTTTTTATTCTCCACTTCATCTAGTTATTTCCTTGGGGACCACAGAGCAATAGTAGGCGGCAAAGTAATGAAATGTGGTAAATCTGGTTAAAGAGAAATATGACTAAAAATACATCCCTGTGTTTCATCTCTGCAGCCCATATATAGTGGGGCTAACTTGAGTTTCCTAAGCACTAATGCTAGTTTTTACGGAGGAAAAAGCAGGGTGAATTTATTGTTCTGGGAAACAGTGTGCTCAGCTTGAATGCATGTGGAGTTCTTTGTTTTGCAGGTATGCCCCGAAACTCTAGGCACAGGCAGCCACTGCTGCTCCCATTGGGCGCCACGCCAGCGTGGCGAGCTTCATGGGGCCTTCAGAAGGGGGTGTCATCGCCTGGGCGACCGGCAGAGCCTGGGCACCTGTGGCCGCCACCGGGGCGGTACGGCCTGGGAGCTGGGAGGTCAGCAGGGAAATGTGCTTGCCGCGGCCAGGCTCTGAGCCTTGACCCCGACGGCCGTGGGTCAGCTTCTCCTGTTAACTGGGCCACTGCAGTGCTGCTCAGCGTCCCTGGGGAGTCCTGGCCTCGACCCAAGCCAAGTAAGCTGGGTCTCAAGGGACTCCCACCATGCCCCTGCCCCACTGCCTGAAGGGCTTTCCAACACCCCAAGCTGGGCACGACCCCACCCCCCATCCTCCGTGAGGAACTGTGTGTCAGGCATCCCCGTGGGTGAATAAGAGGAGAGGGAGAACCGCTGACTGGAAGAGGGCTCTGGAAGGAGTGTGCGACAGAGATTGGGGCACCCATGGTCACGTCACGCAAGATTGTCTTCTGAGTCCTCTGCAGCACCGGAAACAGGCCCCGCAGGCATACAGCAAGGACTTTCTAGAGGACCACAGGCCATGAGCAGCAGAAGCTCCCAATCTCTGTCCTGAGGTCAGTGAACTGGCCGCAGACAGGTCACCTGCACCCCGGCCCAGTTCTTCCCAGCAGGCAGAGGAGGGGCTGCCTGGTAGAAAAATGTGGAGTCCAGCAGGCAGAGAGAAGTAAAAGAGATGCAGGAGCTGCAGAGACCCAGGAGATGAGCCACAGAGAACCACGTGGCCAGGGGGGCGTGCGGCCCAGGGTGCGGGGGCCTCGGCCGCTCCCTGAGGGGCGCCTGTGACCGGAGGCCGGAGGTCTGGCCCGGGGAGGCTCCGTGACTAGGGGGCCTCGACTTCGCTGTCCTCAGCGCTCAGAGCGATGAAAACCTTTGCCAAACATCTGCCCACCCGTTCTCTGACCCGGAAGCTTCTTCGCGAGGGAAAGAGGCTCTTGGGCATAAATCACGTCCCGTGAGTTCATCTGAAGAAAATGCATGCCTGGCCTAAAGAAGCAGCTTTGAAGCCTGCCCAGTGAGCGGGGGTGGGGGAGCGGAGGCAAGGCTACTGACGGGACAGGCCACCTGGTGCCCTCGCGCCCGTTGCTCTCCACGTGGGGACCCTGGGCGACCACAGCGCAGCGTGGAGACCTGTGAGGAAGCGCGGCCGGGAGACACACCCCAGCGGGGCAGGCTGGCGGGTCGGTCTTTCCGTTCACTGTGTACAGGCGCCGCGAGGTTTTCATCACCAGGTGCGGTCCGGTGGGTCCCACAGTCAGGAGGGGCAGGACACTGAACCCAACCCACGCGCCGACAAGCAGGACCGCTGCGCCGGCGCCGCCTCGGCCTTCAGTGCGTGCCAGCAGCGTCACTGGGAATCACCATCCTCCCCGTCTCTCCTGCTGGTCTCTGGGGCCGGGGGCGCTCCACCTGCCGCAGCTGGCCCCAAAGGGCAGGGGCACTCTCAGAGGACTGCCAGGACACCGGCTCACAAAGCCACCAAGTGTCCATGCCCGCCTGTGTGTCTGTGATCATTTCAAAAGCATCCGAACAATAACCTGGATGGATAAGGCACTCGCTGCAGGTAACATTTTTCAGCCACCAGGCTGAGGCTCCTTTGTAATGCAAGAGCCTGGCTGCCTGTCCCCAAGGCAATGGCCCAGGAGTAAGGGGCGCTGAGCTGAGCTGCCTGACTCGAGAGCTCACCTGCTCACCAGGTGAGGCTCAGGAGAGCAGGCCCCTGGCCACCCCCCGAGCTGTGGGAGAGGAGAGCCCCGGGAATCTGCCTGGGGCACAGCATGTGTTCCTGGTTCCTGCTTCGGACCCTCCTGGGCCTGGGCCGGCCCAGCTAAACGGAAGCCAGGAGTCGCCCGCAGGGCGCCACCCGATGGGGAAGGAACCAGCCTGGGAACCTGAAGGGGCAGGCACCAGCCCTGGAGAAAGGGGGAAGATGCTTTCTCGCCCCAAATAGAAGCTTCCACTGCAAGCTACCTGTTCACAGATCCGAAGTTGAGATGTGTGTAACCCCCGACTGCATCCTCTCCCCAGCGACAGCCGTCAGGCAGATGGTGCCCAGATGGCTTCCGGGGCACGCAAACGACAGTCAAAAGCCGTCCCCATTACAGGCCACTTTGCAACTTGGATTTGCCACCGCAATGGGCGCCACAACTGCTCATGAGGGGCGTGGGGAACCCTAGGCGCGCATCAGTAGTGACCGTGACAGTTTGAAACACTTATAAATAGAAACCTGAGTATTAATAAATGCATCGCCAGCAAAGGCGTCCCACCAAATGACACACAACTTGAAGTAGAGCAAAAACTGGTCAGAAAACTAGTTAGTCAGATAAACAAGTGTTTTTCACCTACTTGTGGTAGTAAGCAACAAATACAAATACATCATAATGTCTGTCAGAATAACAATAAAATGTAAACCAAGCCACACACGCAGTAGGCAACAAAGGCTTAACATACACAGGACAGAGTGGCCTTCTGTTTCTCTGCAGGAGGCTCTCAGCATTAACTGGCTAATAGTTCAAGCAACTTGAGCCAGGCAGACATTAATCACTCACTTCTGGTTTTAACATGACAATGGCCCTAAAACTACGCTACAGTCGAACAGGAAGAATAGCCAGGGGCGCGGCCCACACGCAACAGACGACTGACCGCGGAAATACAGTTCGGCTTTCCTGATTACAGCTGGACTCCTGCGGGCCTTCGCGTCAGAGGCTTTAAGGGAACCACGCTCTTCGCTGGTCTCTGGAGAATCTGGGCGCAGCACACTCGTCTGGACTCTCTTCCCTGGGCGTGGAACAGTAGACACTGGTCAGCTGCCCGGCGAGTCCTTCGCAGGGCTCGGCAGGGCGAGGCTGAACACTGCGCCCACGGGCGCACAGACGCGTCCTGGGTGAACCGTCTAAGGGAAAGCAGGCCTGCCCCAGAAAAGCTGATCCACAGAATCAGCTGCTTCCATGTAGATTAACATATTTATCCAGGCGAAATCCCGCACAGAAGTCGTGCTCAGACCTGGCAGCTACGCGAGAGGCTGGCGAGGGGCCGCACGTGGCGGGCGCATCAGTGGTGCTTTCTTTACACCGTCCTGCTTGGTGTCATGAAGTGCTCCCCAGGAGCAGGGGGTTGGGGGGTGGGGGGCTTGAGGGGGGCTGGGGACACTGAGGGACAAACCCAGCCAGGGCGGTGCTTTCCAGAGCCAGAACATGGCGGCTGGCAGGTCGCGAAGTCACCAACAAGCCTCTTCACCTTAGCGGCCTCACAAGCCCCAGACGCATCCTGCTGCTGCAGGCTGAGGAGTGAGAGCCGCACTCACTGGGCTCCCCCAGATGTGCCGCCCCTGAGCATAGGGTGATGCTGGGTGACTTCTCTGTAAGATCGACCTTATGGTAAGGTTGCAGTTTCCATCTTTTTGAGTATCATAATTTGACAGCAAAATTTCCTTCTACATGGTGGAGGCTGAACTCAGGTTTAGTTTGCTGCTGAACGGCCATGGTTTAGGGAAGAGGCAAAAACAGTAGCTGATACTTAAAAATCAAAGTTCAAAAGATTCCTGGTTTTCTGCCGGTCCTTTAATACTTACTTCCATTTTTCTCCTCCTATCTGCTAGGCCATTTACTTGTAATGTGGACAAAGACCCTTTGATAGACTCCTACGTCTTTGCCAGGAACCTAAATGGGCTGGCTAGAGACCGGTCTATGATTGGCCAGTGTACTTTCTTCTTGAAACTGTTTTGTATCACTCACATTTCCCCCGCACAGGGGCATGCCCTGATTTTATGTTTGGGGGTACGACGTTCTCTATCGACATCCTGTAATGTTACTCACTAAGGGGTTGTTTGTGGAATGACTTCAATCCTAAACACTATTTCAGGTCTTCAGTAATCCAAGGCAGGAATGTGTCATACGCATGACCTGGAATAACGACTGAATGCCTGGGAGGCACTTCTGCCCCCAGTTCCACTTTCCCAAATGACACCCGTGTGCACAGAGGGGGGGCGACTGTAAATTATACTTGAATTTTCAACTGGGGGTTTGGGGTCAGCCTCTGACCCCTGCATTGTTCGAGGTCAACTATGCTTCTAAAAATATGAAATCTGGAATAGATTTCATTTATTTATTTAAAAATGAAAAATTTTAAGGCATTCTATCATACATTTTTCTCCTCAAACACCAACTAAATCATCGGAATGGAAGATGTCTAAAGCCACAGGAGACATAATATTATAAAATATATAGAAAGACACAAGTGTCTTTCAGCTAATTCAAATCAGCTTAAAAATTCTATTAATTAAAGAAAAAATGGCAGTTGGGAAGCAAAGTTGTTTACAAAGGGTTGAACTGAAAGTATTCCAGTCATTCTATGTAAAAAATATTTGTGGGTATTTTAGTAATGTGTTTGCTCTTAGAATAGAACAGATGGCAGAGTGGAAGAAAATGTAATTTCCAGATGCACAGCTTTGTGAATTCAATGTCACAGACCCTGAGTTATCCGTGCGATCTCAACTGGAACCTTGGCCAGGAATTTCAGAGAACTGAGATCTTTTTAAAGTCAATGTTACTTAATAGTTAACCTCTGAAATGCCACCTAAGGCTAATTATCTTGGGTGGGACTCCCAGAGGGCACGCTCACGTGCCAGCGACCCTGGGCCTGAAGCGTGTGCGTCTGCGGTCTCAAAGCCCTCCCGTTGGCGGCAAAGACCCCAGGGCGGAGTGAGAGGGAGGCAGCGAGACACAGGCCCTCACCGTTCCTGGCAGTGGCTGTACCTTGTCCAACATTTTCTATTTCTGGCAGATTTTAAAGCATCAAGGAATTTAAAAGTCGCCCTTTACAAAAGGTTGGGAATCCCTAAACTTGGCAACCCTGCTTCGCGTAAAGAAGAAGAAACGAAAAGATGCCACCTGCCTTACCTGGTGGGCATTTCCTTCTTTCGCACCACAGCAGCTTTCGGAACCACCCTCGAGTTCTTGGGCTTTGATCTGGTGGAAGCTCGTACCTGTAATCAGAATGAAGAATGGTATCTTGTTCTAAAGCAAATGGGTACATTTGCAGTTGGGTCATGACAGTGTGTCCCTTGATAAATGTTTCTAAGTGATTTTGAGCCAGTCATGTAACTCCTTACTGGGGGAGGTCTGCGCCGCGCAGAGTTGTGCGTGGCAAGCCGACCTTTGCCTGGCTCCTGCCAGCACGGCAGGGGCTGCCCTGAAGGTCGCGAGGCTTCCTGCCATGACTGCCTTTGGCCCTGCGGGCTGTTTCGCTCGGTGTGGACCTGCGGCCACCTACATCAGCTTCTTAGACGAGCTACAGATGGCTGATGCAGTAGTTAGGACTCGTGTTTTTCACGGGCTGTAGCTCGCGGCTCTCCCGAAGCATGCGCTGTGCACCTGCAGGTTACCCCTTCAATCCGCTCACCTGGGAGCCGGCGGCACTGCCCATTGCACCCGAATCTGCATTTGACACAGGCAACGCGGATCCACTAGAGAGCAGCTTACTCCCAGACGACAACTTCCCATTAGAAGGGTGATGTTTTGCCATGCTTTCACAGGATTTTGCATTTTTTTCAGGCAGAGATCTAGACGGCCTACTTAAGTGCCCAGCACTTGTCTGCATGTTATGGTTAGATTTGTTTTTAGTAGTCGGATCAAACTTCAGCTTGTCACACTGGCTCACACTGCTATGAAGTGAAAACAGCTTAGGTTCCTTCATGACGTGTGATTTTCTCTTCTGGTGGCCAGATTCGAAGATTCTTTTGCTTGACAAGCCATTTTTGAAAACTGGTACAAATTTAGGGCCGACAGTACTTTGGGAGCCAGACTGTGTGTCTTGCAGCGGCGTATTTCCCCTGCTGGGCACTTCAACTTCCAAGTGCTCTCGTGCCTGGCTGGACAGGGGTCTCTTCCTGCTCTGAGCAGATCCTGGCTGGGCGGGAGGCGGCCAGGACACGCGCGGGCTTTGCTGGCCGGCTGACAGCGCCACCTGGCGGCCCGCTTCTGCCCAACCCCGCGGCAGAGTCTGCGCCCAGGCGGGCCTGGTGGGCGGGGCCTGCGCCGGGGTGGGCGGGGCCTGCGTCCGGGAGGGCGGGAACAGTCCTTTAGTGGTCAGGTTGGGCAGCCTGGCTTTGTTTTCCTGAAATGATAGCGATGAGGGAAAAAGAAGTTTTAATGTTTCCCATGGCAAACAGATGGAAAATATCCAATACTATCCAGATCGTCTGTACAATACATGAAAGTACAGCAGACAAAGCGGGAAGAGACAACAGCAAGAACGCCTGCTCGAGGACAAGCTACCCCACGCGGCCCTCCCGTGACACCGGCCTCAGGTGAGAGGAAGCCCGGCCGAGGTAGTGGAAAAGCGCCAACGCTCAGCTGCCGCCCATGCCGTGGCCGCTTTCCTCAGAAAGGCTTTCCCTCGTCTCCAGCCCCAGCCCCCAAGGATTGCTAGCAGCCTGCGCCAGACTGGGAAGCTCTTATCCTCCAGGGCGTGTAGAACTGCAGCTCATCTATTCTTAGACCCTTCACTGTCAGGAGACTACTCGTGCGAAGAAACTCAACTGATGGAGGAAGTTGCCGACAATACCAGGCCTTTGAAAGCAAGTGGGATTCCTGACTAAGGCAGAGGTCTCTGTCATCTGCATCCTCACTGCCTGGTTCCTGCGAGCAATTCAGTGAGCATCTGGCAAACTGATCTGCCAGATGTACCAGAGCAAGCCAAGAGTTTATAGCCTTTAAAACACTGGTGATGCACATGCACCTAACAGAAAACAGAATTCACTTTATTTTCAGGGGCCCCAGTCGATGGCATCAAGCACACCCTTCACTGTACTTGTGTCATGCAACCAGCACCACGATGTTTCCAGAACTGTGGCTTCATCCCCAACAGAGCCTCAGAGGACGCGAGGCAGCATCTCCCCTGACCCTTCTGCTCTCCGGGAGCCCTGATGACACCACTCTGCCGCCTGTCTGCGCCCCGCGAGGCACTCTGCACATGTGGAGTCACCTGCGTGTCCCTTCGCGAAGGCCTCACTTTACTGAGCATGTTCTCAAGGTTCACTCATGTTGTGAGGCGTCACAATCTCGTTCCTTTCTACGAATGAGTAAAACTCCATTCCAGGGCCATGCCGCCTCTGGTTTACCCTTAACCTGCTCAGGGGAGGTGGTGACAGTATTTTAAATCCACATCTAACGGGTGCAGAAGAATGCAGTGGGGTTCCTGGCTGAGGGAGCTGTTAACAGAGGTTAACAGCTACAAGAGCTGCTTTTTCCCCTGGAGACTGCGTGGCTGAGGGAAAGGCACCCCCAGAGGGGTCTGCACTTGTTTGCTAAGGCTGCTGGCATGGAGCCACAAACCGGGGGGTTATGCCGAGAAATGCATTGTCTTGAAGTTCTGGAGGCTTCATTCCAACAGAAAGGAGCTGGGGAGTGGGGTTGTAAGGACAGACCCTGCTCCAGGCCACTACCCCAGGCCCGTTAGGGGTGAGACTCCACGCCTATGACGTCTGTCGTACCGGGCTCAGGGCCTGCCCGTGCTAGCCCGACCTCATCTGAGGCGCCGGAGCCTCTCCATCCCCCCAGTGCGCCTTCTCGAGTGGGAAACCCAAGGTGGACACTTTCTCTTCGTAGCTGGGATTCAGGATGTGACTCAGGACCAGCCAGATGCACTCGCCCCACAATGGGAAGAAGCGAGGTGAAGCCGGACTTCTGCACTGTTGCAGCGAGGCTTCCTGAGGAGTTAGGGTTTCCGGTCAGAGTGAGCAGAAGTCTGGTGTCCAGGCTTGCAGGTGTCCAGAACCCAAGCCCAGGGTGCTGGGTCACCTGGTAGCCCCCACCAGACACACGCCTCACTGCCCTCACCCTCCACGGCTCTTCCCCGTACACCCATAGCTGTTTCGTCACAAGTGACCGAATCATGTTCAAGTATCTAGAACTGAACTTTTTCCCACCTGACAAGCACAGAATTAAAAAATGATGTTGAATTCAATTACAGAAAAGCAAAGGTCAGTCATGTTTTCGCGCCCTTGGGTTTCATAAACCACAGCAACTGTTAGAAACATACATGCTGCTTGAGAGTGGATGAAAAGTCTCTGCAGGCATCTCCCGTGGGAGTGGCTGACCTGCCTCCAGACAGCACTGGGCCGGAGCCCATTCTCACTCTCCCTTTCAGGCTGGGGAAGATCTTGGGCAGGGCAGGTTTTGCCCCCAGCCGGGACCTATCAGTTATTGTCTTTCCACTTCTAGAACAGTCAACACCCAGAAGGCATCACAGGTTGACAAAGGCTTATACTTAGTGTAGAGAGACTACAGAAGGACCTGTGTGAACAGCAGATGAGATCATAAGTAATTCACAGGGCCTCAAACGCAGACAGAAGCTTTGTAGAGTCATAACCAAGAAAGCAGCCTTCCCTCCATTCCAGCCATCAAGCGGCCACATGCGCCAGCGAGCTGGCTGGGGGACTTGACTGACTTCAGTTTTGGCAATAAGTACACTCTGAGACACACCTCCTTACTTAGTAACAGCTCAGCAAAGCTCTCCACGCATTGAAACGGTATTTAAATAGGAACAGTTATCGAGTGGTGTGCAATGAGGAGCCACTCAGAGCAAATGAGGGACCAGGCTAGGGTGTGTGCGCCCCCTGGGCGGCATTTCTGGCTACAGCTGATCTCAAGGAGTGGAGGACATCGGAATCTGGAAGAGGATGCTGACTTTACATAATGAGATGCAGGAAGTAGTCAGGCACATTCTCCAGGGCAGTGCTCCAGCATTTCCAACAAAGGCACAGCTAAGGGGAGTGAGTCTGGAGCAGCACAGAGAGAGGCTGAGGAGACAAACCAGCCAGATGAGGTGACATGACCCTGCTTGGGCCTGGTAAACGACCCCTTCAACAGAATCTCGGAGATAATGGAGAATGGGGATGAGCTGGCAGCAGAATTTTGACCAAACAAGTTTTTTATAAATTTTTGTAAGCTACAAATGCACGCTAATATCTTTACAGATGGCATAACATTTCCTGGCTCTCTTTAAAATACGCCGACTTGCCTCCCTCCCAGAAGTGTGTCTGGAGAAAGCTAGGAGCTGGGTGGCGTCACCATGCTGACTTCTGTCGTGTGTCTGGTGTCTCCAGATCCTTCTTCAACCTGCCTTGTAAGGGACAGTGCTAAACCCATGCCCGAGTTATGGCAGGCAGAAGCAGGCCTGGTCCGCTTGGTGTTTTCCTCACACGAGAGTCTCACCAGAAGCTCAGGCAGTTCCTCAGAAACCCAGGAATGTATTTGTTGAGGAGCAGGCACCCCCTATTTCACAAATGCTCTTACTCTCTAATAGCCCAAGTCAATTCTATCTTTGATAAGGGTGAAATCTTTCAGAAATGTAAACCTTTTTTGATCGATGACTTCTCAAGGCTGCCTCCGTTTGGGCCCTCGCTACTGTCTGTCCAGTCCAGCACATCTGGCTGTGGGCTCAAGAGTCTTATTGCTATGTGAATAAGTTGTGCATTCAACAAGGTATTTTTTAGGTCCATTCTTCATGCATGTAATTTCCACACTTAAAGTTTTTCATCAAAATAAAGACAACATAGGGGCCTCCTTGGTGGCAAGGGGATAAAGTCTCAGTGCTGTCAACATTTCGCCAGCCACTGCAGCACGAGCTCCATCCCCGGCCGGGAGTGACCCATGGAGCAAAGCAGACCTCGCCTGTGTCACTGCTGCTCCCCTCAGCAGTGGACTTCAGTACATCCACCTGTTCTGCTCCCCACTGTCTCTGAATCTTTTTACCCCTGTACTTCTGGTCTCCACACCAGTTCTTATATGCATAAAAAAATAAAAATAAATCTTAAAAAAAACAGTAATATAATCCCATTCCTTTTCTTTGACTTATTTTGAAATACTTACTTTGTAATGCCAGGATTTCCACTGTGTATCAGTCTATAGTTCTGACGTATACAGTGCATGAATTTGGTAAAACTGCTGAATAAAGTTTCATTTAAAAAAAGAAAGATCACTGTTGAAAATTTAGATTAAATATCCTCAGATTTTTTCAGAAACTTTCAACTTTGTGTTCTTTTGCCTAGAAATCTTATAGTGTATAAAAAAAGCAAGTCATCATATTTTCTTTATTAGCACTGCCTCATTGCTACCTGTTCTTTTTTGAAAACAAATGTCACTTGGCGTATCATCATACAATGCAAACGTTGAATTAATTTCATTGCCATAAATGGATTATTCAAAAGTTTTTTCAGTAAATCAGACTCAACTGAAGAAAAGTTCAACGTGAACTTGGATTTGTGTGAAGCAAATGCTTTCCTTTTTTTTTTTTAAGATCATTTATGCATACAGAACTGGGGTGCAGGCCAGAGGTGGTGAGAGGATTCGCCAGAGACAGAGGGGGGAGCAGAACAGGCAGATGGACAATGTACACCGCTGAGGGGAGCGGCGGGCGGGTCAGGAGAGATCTGCCCCGCGCTGCATCGCCTACGGGGATCCAGCTCACGCTGAGGGGACTATGGCCAGCTTGCAGTGCTGCGCCACCGGGGAGGGCCCGAGCAAGTGCTTTCAAACCACGCCATGAGATCAGTAACCATCCATCCAGTCAACAGGTACTTACTGAGCACCTATTCTCACAGCTTGGGAAAGGAAGGCAAATACCCTGCTCGACAACTGCCACGACCCCATGCTGACTACGAGGCCAGCAGCTGGCGGCGGTGACAAAGAAAGAGCAGCCACGAAACGGGTCAGGGCAACAACGCCAGCACCGCAGCCCGTGCAGGTGGCGCAGGCCCAGCAGGGCCGGCTAAGCAGGGCTTACCTGCGCAGGCGGCCTGGCGAGCTCGTGCGTGTGGTAGCGCGGCCTGGCTGTCATCCTCACGGGAAAGCCGCATATGTGGGGCAGCGTCAGTTTTAAATCCGAGAGAAAGCGTTTCAGCACGCCCTCCAGATCCACCCTGGGAAAGAACTGCACGGGCTGGCTCCTGACGCAGCTGAGAGGGTACGTGGGGGCGTTAAAGACCAACCGCCCAGCGTGCCCAGAGGAAAGGCCGCGGCTAAGCGGGTGCACAGCCGCAGGTACAGAAGCCCGCCCAAGGGCCCGCCCGCTCCGCCGCTTATTCCGCACGCGGCCCGGTGGGCGCGTGTTCTCCAGGCCCTTCACGCCTCAGGCCGCCAACCGTGACACAACCGCGACAGCCCGTTGCCTCCTGACAACGTCGCCGTCTCCTCCAGCTGGCAAACCAATCGCCCCGGAAACGACAGTAAAAAGGCCGATGTGCGCATCAGAGAGGCTAAAATAAGTGCAGCAAACAAGAAACAGGGCGCATCTCCAAGAGCAGCACAAATCTGGCCGGGAAGCAGCATGCGCAGATGTGTTTGCTGGTCTCGGAGAAAGGCAGCTCTGTTTTCTGATGAAAAATTTTCTCAAGACTGAGAGTAACATCCTGCCAGCTAATGAAAAAGAATACCTGGAGTGTGCCAAGCCCAGTTTATGGCAAGATCTGGGTCAGGAAACCCAGCGCGAGCAGCAGGCTCATAGCCTTCACCCCAGGGGTGGGGGTGGGGGCTCGCTGCTCACTAAGGCTGAACAGTTTCACCTGAGCACTAGTGCCCTTGTGAGCCAGCTTTTAAAGCAATGCTAGGGAAGCTATTTTCTTAATGGGGTGCATCGAGCCAAGTGAAATCCTCTAAACTTGGCCTACAAAATTAAATAATCTGGAAAAGAAAAAAAATCTTTAATTCCCACTCCTCAGCGATATCCAAAATGCCACTGGGGGGCGCCCTTGGCTCAGGAGACCCCCTATACTCCTGTTGGTGCTAGGAATCTCAACAAGTTTTTTTTTTACCTACTCTAAAATTTCTTTTGCTGTCCAAATTATATAACAGTGTTTAAGGGGGGAAATTATCATTGCTAAGCTCACACCCAGATGATGGTAGGGCAATCTCAAGCCAAGTAAGAACATTCGTTTAGATAAAAAGCACAGGGAAGCGGCTTCAGGCAGGCGCAGAGAAGCGCAGACAGGACCAGAGCAGGGCAGGCGGGAGACCGTGCACAGGCCGGCCGCAGAGGCCCTCGCACAAAGGATATGTAAAGGTCCTTTCTCCTATCATTTTGAAGTAGATGCTGCAGTACACTTCTGAACTTCTGCTATCTTCTGGAAGTTTATAGCCATACTAAAATTTAAGAACAAAGTTGAAATCCTCTTGAGAGAAAGTTGAACTGAGGTTAAGACAAGAAGCAAAATCAAATAACATCTAAGGTAACACATAGTTCTATTCCTTACCAGCTGGTCCCAGTGCATCTGGAAATCGTGGAAGGAGTGAAAAGGGCAGTCAGGGGGGATGGTGTGAAAAACACTTAATATTTGTCCCATTTTCATACTGTGAAAGACAAGAGTTGGTAAAATGTTATGAGCCCAGACTCAGTATAGTTTGATAATTTTAACTATGTGATTTTGAAAGTGTTAAAAAAGATGAACCGCCACAGACATGGACATAATAAACTAATCATCTGTTTTGATTTCAAACACACATCATAGGACATCTTAACAAGGGAAGTTTATAAGGAAAACTAAGTCATAACCACGACAAAAGGCTGATAAAATGTTGCTATACAAAGCTATGCCTGTGAATTGTTAGACTTGAAGAAAATGTCTACAGAGAGTTGAATGAATCAGAGTCAAATATACGGCTGTCTGCCTCTGCCTGTTTGATGATGAAATACTGTGTCTGCTACCACTTAGAGTTCCAGCTCCTAAGCTGCTTACCATTTCGCCTCTATGATATTACTGGTAACAGCAAGCCATTCTTCCTTGAAGGCTGTACAGACACATCTAGCGCAGATGCTAATCAATCACTAATTATGACACACAAGTTGGTGGGGTTTTATTGATATTATGATGAGAGCAGACATTTCCAGTGAGATCACTACAAAATTTTAAATGAGACCCATTTAAAAACGTGTAACACATTATTGTGGTTCACTCAAGCGTTGATGCCTTCTGCAAGCGTAACTTCTGCAAGTGCACCTTTTAAGCAATAATTCAGTTTCAAAGATTCACAACAGCGGATGCTGAAACAATAGAAAAGCAGTGTATCTGGGACCCTAAGCACTACAAACTGAAATCTCACCTTGGCAAAACGTAGCACCATTTGTTTAAAATCGAATGTCCCTCAATGACAGCATTCGTGTTAGTTTCAAAATCCTTTATAACTCTTTGAGAAATACCAAAGTCGCTTAGCTTTGAATAGAAATAAGATTGACACATGAGTCCTTGAAAGAATTTGGTAAAAGACAATACGCACGCGCGCGCACACACACACAACAGCGATTCATCAGGCCCAAGTCACACCCGCATCATCACTTGACTGTCAATGTTCCACCTCAAGCTGCTGCTCCCCCAGTGTATCAGCTGCCACATGCCTGCCTTCTTACCCTCCCAACCCAATCTCCCATTTTATACGCATTTCAATTGGCGCTCAGTTTGACTGTTAATTTACAAGAAACGGAATCCCTTCCAGAAGAAGTTATTTACATCTAATAAAAACGGCATCTTACTAAATGTCTTTTAAACTTAAAGACGAGTCTGGGAGTGGCACCTCTAAGGCTTTGGAGGGACACGATAGCCCTTCTCCTTCACACCCTTCCCCACATCCTGGATGCTCCCTGGCTGGCCCGCAGCGTGCGTCTGCCGGGGTCATGGGCAGGTGGCGCGGGATTTCCTTACAAGGAGTAAGGAAGGATCTTGAGTGGGGAGGACTTATTTTCACACTAGCAGTGCTGAAGTAGTAGAACCATTTAGACTGGGGCCTCTTGTTTTAGAAAGAAAACTCTGTTGACGCTGAGGAAGACTTGGTGAATAAGAGAAGGCCCAGCTGGACACAGTTTTACTAGCCAGGGCCGAAGAAGGGAGTCGAAATTAGAGCAACCGCAGGGGAGACAGAGGAACAGACTTCAACACCACGCAGTGTCAGGGATGTGAAATCATCTGCAGAAAACTCAAAGGGCAGGAAGACGCAACATTACCACTTAAGGACCTTGTTATGAGGTAAGCTGGGGCACAAAAATGAGTACAACTCTGAAGTACAAGGAAAATGCATGACTGCGGTGCAGAACTGGGCGCCGCTACAAAGGTGGGGGTGGTCACTTTGGGCCTGCAGTTCTGGGAAGGTTCCAGTCAGTCTGAGGTATTCCTGTCAATGCCTCCATTCTAGTTATCTGAATGCAGGTCTGCAAGTTTTTGATGATGGAAAAGAAGATCCCATTCAAATCTGACTAGCTAACGACTCAACCTAACAGGTCATCAAAAAAATTAACCCTGAAGAGAAACATGAGCAGAACAGCACTGAGCTCACTGAGCTGGCTCTTAAGGGTTGGACTGAAGGGCAGAGAAGGCAAGCAGTAGGCGCTGAGTCAGGACAAGATTCTGGAGCCTTGAAGGTTGCCCGAAAGACTGCTGAGCAAGGGAGAGTAAGATGAGGTCTGTGTTAAACTGACAGACCTGGGTAAACAGACTGAGAATGGGATCAGCACATGAACACTGAATAGCATGAGTTTTACTATAAACATAGTTGTCACTCTTCTTGTTCAAAATGAACCCCATGTTGTAGCAGTATCAAGTATGTTAGGCTGTGGTATCCCCTCAAGTGCCCAGAAAACGAAGCAGCAGTACCTCAGGCGGCGGCAGCCTCACTGTGTAGACCTCTACGCTCAGGCAGGTGTGAGTTTCTGTGACGCTGATATCTAATACTGCAAACAAAATACTCAACAGTGAACTCTTTGGAATTATTACTCCAGTCAATCAAATGAGGAACTTTAGTAACAGTTAATTACCTCAGCAGTCTATTTGAGTTAGAAACTCAGTTTGAAATGCAGTTTTTTCATGCAAGGCAGAATAAAACAATGTAACATCTGACAATCTGCATGAGGGGAAGCTAAGAGCAGACAGACTGACCAGTTTCTCTCAGGGTTGAGAGAAACTCAGAAAGTATCTTTTGCAGATTTAGCTTTCTTGAAGTGTAAAGAGAGAGGTACACGGCATGCACCCCACACTTTCCTTCGCTACTGAGGAGTGCACAGCCCAGGCCTCCTGGGCCCAGAGCCTGCACCTGCTCTTCGGAGGCCTTATGCAAGGCTGGCGGGGGAGCCGTTGTGAGGGGCACGGCCTGCAGGCCGGGGACCCGAGGTACTGGGAAAGCTCTGGTTCTAACTGCAGAACCATTATGAGGATGTGCCTGAGTTTGTATGCTGCGGAATATTTTGATGCACTAAAGGATTTCTGAAAAGGCCCCCACGGGATGCGGAAATACACTCTCCCTTACCGCCACCTGCGTCAGAGTGCTGGAGTGTTGGGGCGTCGGGATGAAACCCACTAGGTGCCAGCCCACTGCCCCAGCACCAGGGTCCAGGCCCAGAGACTGCCTCTGACCAACCTAAACAGAGGCCAGCACGGGCGGGCCCCTCGTGCAGGCCCAGGGGACGACAGGCTCTGCCTGGCAGGTGCCTGCCCAAGGCTGGCGAGTGATGCCATGGCGGGCTCAGGGTTTCTGCCCACCTGTTGCATGTGGACTAGTACGTATGCCACAGCCACACACAGCCACACACAGCCACACATGTCCGCAAGAGTGATCAGGCGATTTCACCATATATTACCTGGTGTCTTTAAGGTCTTTTTTTTTTTTTTTAAAAGAAAATAACGTTCTGAGAGAGAGAAAGGTTTTACTTACATATACAAAGGCATTTTTAGTATGACTCGAAACTACATTATGTCTGCAGAATGAAAGCCCTTAGTCATACTCTTCTTTAAGTAGAGATATTAAAAATACAGCTTTTCTTCCAGTTAGAAGTGGGTTTTGTCTTCTAAGTAGAATATATATTTTGAACCAGAGATGACTTCCCAGATGTAACTGTGATTATAATATCTGATTAATCCCTAATGAGCAAGATTCAAGCAGAACTCAATCTGTAACATGTTTTGTAAACAAACGTTAATTAGTATTTTATCTATTGACTTACATATGTTCACACACTTTTACTTACCAACAGCATTTTGCTTTCCCGCTTGAGAAAGAAAGTCTTTTCCTTAAAAAATGCATAGGATATATCACATTATTATTAGGACTCATCAATCATGTTTGATAAATATCACCTTTTTACTTGGAATTAGCCAAGCCGAGGAAAATGCTCTAAAATGCAGTTTTGGGAGCATCTGATGACAACTCAGGGAACAAATATAATCGCTCATAAAGTACCTCTTCAATGAAAAGGAAGGAAACACCCAGTTCTTCCCTAAAGTTCTTTCTTCCTGCTGTAAACACCTGCATTCCCTCTCCTACTGCTTTACCACTTCTATTGCTCCCTTTCTAGATACGGGGTGTCTTGCAATAAGCATTTCCCCTTAAGGAAACAACAGGCCTCTGGACAAACTGAAGCAAGGAGGCATTTATGTTGCTGAGGATTTTGCTTGAGACCGAGCCTTCAAATGCTGCCCCCCAAAGTATGTGTCCCCAATCAAAGCAGATGCACATAACAGAAGGGGCCTGGGCAGAAGGCCAGGGCAGCGAGGGCATCACCTTGCACCAGGAGGTGGCCAGCTTTATTCCAGGTTGGCGCAAGCCTGACCGTGAGTGAGTAGGAAAGGCAGCTTTGAAGAATCTCAGGAGTCACTCTTTGGGCCGACTCCGCCTAAGAGCAAAGACAGTAAGGTTAAGGTGCCAGTGGGCATGCTCCCCTGGGGCTGGGAGCGCCACCTGCCAGCCCACCCGCCTGGCTAGTCTGCGTGGGAACTCCAGTCACCACTACAGCCAGTCTCCTGGTTCTAACATCCGGGGACTGTTAGGAGCTAGTCACTTTGAACCACGCTGTCGCTGCAGCACCGAGTCCGTGAATAAAAGAATTCAGAGTCTGCGCTCGGGGGAGGGGACAGGAGAGGCTCCCCTAACTGCAATGAGGAGCCAGGCCCCAGGGTGATGGGGGATACAAGTAAATAAGGCTAAAATCTAAGCCCTCCCTGCCCAGGGCAGCTATGCGAGGCTGGAGTGGGTAAGGGAATGGCGACGTGCTGGGGACGAGGCCAGAAAACCGCCCACAGAGGCAGGAGCCGCTGCACAGCTCTGGAGTGCAGACACAGGGCCAGAACACGCTTCTGTGTCAAAGGCCAGCTATGAGACCAGACAGCCCAGCAGACCCTGGTGCAGGCTGGCACCCCAAAGGCAGCGTGAAGAGAATCCCCAGTCCTCCTGTGAGCGCACTCCCCCGCCCTGCCTACTGCTTCTTAGCAGAGTCTCCCAGGAAATCCACTTGCTCTGTTCCCCACTGGCTCTGGCAAATTCGGTCACTCCCCAGAGCCCTGAACATGCTCCCCCACCCTCTAGACCTCATTGTAGCCCGGGAGATGTGCCAGTTCCAGGTCTTCTAAGCAGCAGCCCCGTCTTCTTTCCAAGTTTCCTGACGGCTACTGCTGCGGCATCTTGCTGTCACAAGGACCCTAGTCCACTTGTAACAGCACCAAACAGACCTTGAAGTTAAAACACCAATAAGACTGCACTGTCCGGGTTCCGGGAGAGGGCAGCAAAGGGGTCTGTACTGGCCTGCGAGACACGCCCTGCCCCACTGAAGGGGAGACTCCAGGGATCTCCGCAGGGCACTAGGGCAAGGAGGCAAGTAAATTTGTCCTCACAGTTTACAGAAGGCCTTTGCAGGAGAACCAGAATTCTTTAATGATTCAAGGCTTCTCTCCGAAGAAGATTTAACTGAAATCCCTCCTCATCACCCTCAAGGCCACTCACTGCTTCCCGAGCAGACGGAGCCGTGAGGTTAGTGCTCAGCGCTGCAGGGCTGCACTGGCAGCTTCGACCTCCTCCAGGCTAGAGAAAGCTCAGGATCCTGAACTCGGCAGAGGCAGAAAGGGCCACAGAGACGCCCCGAGGGCTGCTAGAAGAGCCAAGGGCCAGTGCCTGCGAGCACAGGCAGAGGCGGCGTGAGGCCAGTCCAGGCTCTGGGCCAGAGGCAGGAGACATGGGAACTGGGCTGCACAGAATCACTCGTGCCCTGGCTGAAATCCACACGCATCCCCACAAGGCACAAAACCTATCAGCTCTGGTCACTGCCGATACTTCTATCTCTCTGGGCCTCATCACCTCACCGTCATCAGAACATGATTCTGTCACATAAATTGCCTGCAAAAAGTACTCAACAAAAGTTAAGCCTCTCGTCCTATCTTCACTAACATGTACAAGATAAATTTGGAGGGCAAAAAGTTGGGCTTTCTTACACTTGGATCAATAACTAATAACTTCTGAGGGAAAATGCTATATGCTTTGCTGACAAAAGAAGCCGAATACAAAATGAATATAAATAGCATCTAAGTTATTTTTGAAAATTTACCTTAGCTCCATATTTTTCAATACAGGCATTAAGTTTTCCAGCTTTATAAAATGAAATCTATAACAGAAAGTCACATTGATAAAAATGACAATACAAATGTATTATTAAGAAATACAATCCATAAAAAGTGAAAATACCCTACAACTGAGGGCACTAAATTGTGGATATAGAATCTGTGTATAGTCTGCAAGTGACAGAGGTCTTTCTGGAAGGGGCAGGAGAGCAGAAATCATAAAAAGAAGGTCAATACATTTAACATGATAAATAGTTAAGACCTTTTTTAATATACAAATTCTTCAGCATAAGAAAAAGTGGACCTAAGTGGAACATTTAGAGAAAGTTCAAAAGGCCAATATGCTCCAACTCACCACAAAAGAAATATAAATTAAAAGAAAATGTAATTTTTAACCTAAGAGATTGGCAGAGTTTGGAAAGGCAGGAATTAACCAGTTCATAAGGTGCTCTCACACAATTAGTTAAAATGTAATCTAGTAAAGCCTTTCAGAGAGCAGTTCAGCAGAGTTTAGATTACAGTTTAAAATGCACTTCAATTTCATTTCAAAGAATGTAACCCAAAGAAACTATCAAATAAGTAAAACTGACATCATTTCAATGACATTTCCTGAAGCAGTTTCTGACAGCCTTGGGCCCTGAGACCACGTGAGCAGGCTTAATCACCGCACACCCAGACAGCCAAACATCTCAGTCTTAAGAATTAGGAAAATACATGTATTGATACAGAATAACAGCCAGGAAAGGCTGTGAAAGGGGCAATAGAAGACAAGTTTCAAAATATAAAGTATAATCATTCTACTTTAAATATTTATAATTTTTAAAAACAGATTTGCTATCTTTATAAGAAAGCAAAACACATTTAAGCTGACAACTTTCTTCTTTTTATGCTTGCAAAGACTAGGATACTTGAATTTATGAGAAGTCTAAAACAATGTCCTCCCTTTTCCATAAAGATTTACAGGAGAAAAAAGACCAACAAATAAGAGGTGTGTTCTTGTTCACAATCAGCTTGTTTTTTCTTAAAAAACTATATTAAGGATGAGAAAATAAAAGCTGGATGGAACTTAGAAGGAAAATACAACCAATAAGAATAATAATGTAAGGGAGTAATAACCTAGAAGAAAAACAAAAGATCTGAGGGTTTTAAATGGTTTTTAGTACTGTTAACTAAATACTGATTTCACTGGATTCTGGGGTATTAAAATTTCAATATAAGGATTTTTCAAACCAAAAAATCTCAGAATAATATAATATTTTATAGAGTTTTGGCATTAGTTATTCCCAGTTATCATTTTATATATATATTAGAATGAGAATATATATATATTTCTCATTCTAATTTTACTAAGTGTAAAAATTTCTTAACAAGACCTCCAAATTAAAAAAAATTGAAGTTCTGTAAAAACAATTGGGAATATGTAGAAATGAGAAGCTTCTTTTATTTTATGTGTAACTCTCAGGGATAAAATATGAGAAAAGGATTAAAGCCCATGCTATCCTAAAAATTATGCCATAACATAGTATTCATTGTCTTTATCTTAGCATTTATGAATTAAATATAAGAGTCATAAAAACGGATTTCAAAGGCCACAAAGTTGTCTGTTTCTACACTTAGGTTCCTTGTGTCATTATCCTTAGGCTGTGTTACAGTTACACTTAGTTACTGTTACACTTTTGCTATAACAAAGTTAAAGCTTATAAACTGTTGTATCAAACTAGAACACAGTATAACTTGCTCTCATAAGCCACCCCAATTTGAACTACAACACCTGAATTAGTGCTTATCACTATTTCCAATAATTCATAATAAGACTTGGCCAAAATGTTAAAGTACTAACCGCCATCACCACCCAAATTTGGTTTGCTATTCCAGGCCCAGGTGCTGTGAGAATGTCTTGGTGCAACAACAGCAACTCCCTGTGGAGAAGAAACACTCACTTTAAGGTGTGCCTGCCCGCCGTTTCCACTTTTTATTCTCCTTTAAAAACTGCTTACTTCAAATCAAAAGTTGAAGTTTTTTTAAACAAGGGGGGTGTCAGAGGTCCCTGTAGCACTTGCACGCCTCCAGCAGGCAGCCACCGAGCCAAGGCTGGACTTAGGAGCTCACCATGCCTTAGCTATTAGATTAATACGACAACTGGTCCCTGCGCTGAGGGGCCGGCCTCTTCAGTCAGGGAACCCACACTTCTGAAACGTCCTCGCCCAGGCGCAGCCTTGAGGAAGGCTCAGCTCCATGAACAATCAGGCTTTCCACCCCCGCGAACTTCATTTTCCTTTAGTTTGTGTTGTTTTTTCACGGTGGCGGGGCCGTGGGGCCCAAGGATTCTACTCCGAGGGTGGTTGCCAGCCGCCTCAGTCAGTGCTACTGCACAGCGCTGAGGCGATTCTTTTCCTTTGAACAGATTTTTCCGTCAGGTGGGTCTCAGTGTTAGCTGCGGGTCCAAGGCCAAACGAGTGTACAACAGAACTCATCACACAAAACTCACGGAATTTGCCTCAGAGGCCAAGGGAAACCAAGAGGGAGTATAGCTGGAACAGAAACTTCGCATTCAAGGGTACAAACTCCAAGGGCCCCAAACGTCACTTGCCACGTGTTGCCGCCCCGAGGAGGCCGCTCGGGGGCCGCGTCGGGGGGCCCGGTGCGGGCTGGGTTTGCAGCTGACCCAGGCGTCTGCCTTCCCGTCCCAGCCTCGCTGTCCGCCCGGGAGGCCTGGCCAGGCGGCCCCTGTCGCTTTGCCTTGAGGGCCGGCGGCCAGGGACCCGACTGCGCCTGCCGCTGCCGGAAGGCCCCAGGTAAGTAGAGGAGAGGCCTGAAAGCGCACGGAGGGAGGCCCGGGCTCCCGGGGGCCACGCGGGAACGCAGACGCGGGGGAGAAGGCAAGCGAGGGGCGAGGCCCGCGGCCACCGAGCGCGCCTCACGCTGACACTCGGCCGCGGTGTCGCTCCCGCCACACCTTTGGTTGGAGGTTGCCGCACCTCACCGGGGGGCCCCAAGTTCTCAAGGGCTCCAGTGTCTTTCGAGCCCCCACAGCGGGCGCTGAGGCCGGGAGCCCCGCGGCGGGAGCCGGCTCCGGAACGGTCAGCAGCGACTCTGTTGTCCGCAGACTGAGAGGCCAGAGTGGCCTGCGTGTGCGCGATGTCCGCCCGGTGGCC